TTTTGAACCATTTCTTTGTTTGTGACTCTGACTTAAAGTAATTAAATATTTTCCAAGGACGTATTATCGCAGCTGCTATCGACCAACTTGCATGTGAAGGGAATTCTATCCGTCTTCCTCTTAAAGTAGTGCCATACAAGGTTGCTTTTGTACCTCCATCTGTTAGCACTAAAGGGTATAATGCAAGCAGTTTCGCAGAGTCTTTGATTTCGCAGCTTGTTGAAACTGAGCAGCTGAAGGATGATTTGTTTGTTGACGACCGAACAAAGCTCTCCGTTGCAAGAAGGATCTCTTCTAGTGCAGATTTAGGTATATTGTCTCATATATGTTTGATTGCCGTCTTTGTTTAAGAGTAATTTCTAAATTTTGTTGTTCAATACGTCATTCACGAGGAATTTACTCGGATTTCTAATTTCCAGTATTGCTTGCTTAAGGAAATGTCAAAGTTTCACACAAGTAGCCAGTTGCAGGCATTCCAAATATATTCGTTGCTGGTAGCTTTACGGCAAGGAGTTTAAAAACAACACCGCTGATTGAATATTTTTATGCTGGTCCGAGGGAAGCTCCGAGGAAAGTTGCTGATTTGACTCATAATGATTTGTTCGAGCTTGTTAAAAACTTATAAGTGTTTATTTGAAACGTACTTGTTGTTAGGCGTAATATATATTTCGCATACATTCGGTGTTGTAAAAGAACGAGAATTCTTTTATTAAGCATTATATTGTTTATTTTGTAGAACATGTCGTTTTGGTGGAAGTCCGCACTAGCCAGTCTCATACTTCATCTTCTGTACTTATTCACCAACATGTGCTCATCTATTTTTTAACAAGTTTTCTCGGTAGTTTCTTTTGTATGATCGTAAAGTAATAGTTACAATGGCACTCGTCCTAGTAAGAACGGTTTCGGTTGTAGCCACAACATTATCTCACGTCGCGAAGTTACGCTGTGAATGTGAAAAAAGGTGTAGTAGAGTTCCCACAATCTCGAAGAGACGTATATATTGTTCTTCAAATGAATTCTTTTTTGCTGCAAGGGTATTCTTCGAGGAAACATTTCATTGGCTTTTGTAGGCTATCTCGTTTATTGTTTGATTTGGATTTATGACTTGCCGTATACCCGGTAACGTCTTTACCAGTCTTCTACCACCTGAAAGTGTTCGAGGTATCAAGCTTCTGACGGACCGTGAGCGAGCGCTTTTCAGGTTTGCTTTTATTGGTTCTACTATTTTTAGCTCTCTGAGTCCTTTTTTTTGTTTGTTTTTTCATTTTCTACTGTCTTTCTTTAACTTTCTGGTTGAAACAGCTATATATTAGTTTTGTCTCTCATTTTCCTTTAGAAAAAGTATTCTGGTTCCTTGTTTACGCATCAAATCAAGTATCGTCGGAAGAGTTCTAAATTTCAGCGCGGTTAAATGCTGCACCATTGAAAAGCAGTCTGATAAATTGAAAGTACGTATTGCATTTGTTTTTGGTTCAACAGCTTTATTAGCGGGTGGGGTATTTCTTGTCTGTCTGGCACTGTATTTTTCCTGGTTCGTAATTGTGTTGGCAGCATTTGATAATAAGTTTAAGTGAGGTGTTATGTGTTTATTTTATCTAACAAATTACTCGTCCTTCGGTCACACAGTTGTCTTTTTTACTTTTTAAATCATGAAACACAACTGTGTGACCGAAGGACGACTTTTAAATTAACAAAACTAAAAAAGCATTTTTTATTGCTAATTAGGTTTGCATCGGTGGGAGCTAGTTTGAAACACCATTGTTAAAGTTCTTGATCTAGTAATTGTAGAACAATCTTTCTAGCATTTTAATCTTTTATTTCTTATTTT